ACTAACGAGGTACACTTCTGAAGCAAGACATTCACTACGTGTGAAGTTGGAAAGATTATGATTAAATGTCGGTACCTTAATATTATCTATTTTTGGTTATACTTATGAATCATGCTTATACTGATGCATTATTATGTTAGAAAATATTGTGGATACTGTCAACCATCAGTGATACTGTCAACCATCCATGACATGGAAAATCATTTATTTTTGTGCGGTTGGTTGAGGGAAAGAACGCCAGCCACCAAAATAACTTCTTCATGACATGGGATTGTAGCACCCACTAGGAATGAACGGTCACGATTTTGGTTTCAAATTCAGCTGAAGTTTGGTCGTTCTGATACTGCAGCACTTCTTCAGTACCATGTGCGGAATGGGACTCAAACGGAAACATTTTACTACAGTGCTTCCACTGGGCCAATCTGACATGTCCGATCGTTACTGCCCCAGTTGCTTTAAATAGAAATTCTTTCTTTCACTATTGGTGCATTTTCCAGTCTGTAAAAAGGCTCTTAACATTTTCCTGGCGACAGGTTGCAGAACGAGCTGAGGCACACAGTCAGGGGTTGTTGACTGAATTTGGATATGACATGAACAGACCTGTCTAGTGTCCTGGAATGAGCTGAGCTTGTGGAGTGGGAGCTCTGCCTTCGTACTGATCTCAGTGTGACGCAGAATTACTGTATTTGCAATCTGACAACCTTACATTGCACTCCATGGTATAAAGGCCGCCTAAATCTTTCATACCTAAAGCACAATGCCACTTGTCCACTCACGATGCACTTACCCCACGGGTTATGCATTGGTGCACGAATGGTCACAACTTCTTACCAATATTAAATGTATACACTGAAAACTGATACTGAAGTGTATTGAAGTGAAACTTTATTCGCCAGGTATTTTTACTGTGCCTCGCAGTAATGCCATACTTTAGATTAAGGTTGCATTTATATTCATTGTAGTAGTTTCGATGCTCTAGTCAGTGGTTGATACTTTAACAATGTACATTCTTCATCCAATTGCCTCTGAAATTATTGTGTATATAGTTTGCTCGGCACCAACATTATCTGCCATGTTTTAACAGCTTGATACAAGCAGCAGAGCTACGAGTTGATTTTATTCCTACCTCTGGATTCATCTCCATATCGATGCAATCTTCTTGGTTTGGGCAAGTGTAGTTGGCGAGATTCAATAAGAAGCAGATTGTTTTGTAGTTCGTATAACATCCGAGCTGCTTTCTTTTATTTCTAGTATTTTGCATGTACTGTACACTGAAATCGTGCATTACAACTTGATATGAAGAACACTGAACGAAAGGCAACTCGGACTGCGTCCAGCCTTTGACATCTTCTGTCCTACAGGTGTCACTGGCGAGCCAGTGAAGTCCCTGGGTTCACAATTGGATTGAATGTGGAAGAGGTGGTGCCGCACATATACTACACTATGTAAATACAACATTTCGTTCAATCTCGTTAGTTGCTTACGGAATATTGTTACAGTTTAATATGGAAACTGGTATAAAGTCCTTTTTATTGGTTAGGCTTTTTTGAATAGCAAGAAAGGTGAAACAGTGCATGGGATTGGCCAATGCCAGCAAAATACGCTGCCTATTCACTTTACAAAAATCTGCTCACTTCTAGTAGCTCCGACTGTACATAATCTAAGTCTTTGTGACCATATTTTGGTCGACAATTTGGAAAATTTGCACAGCATCTGGTATCTAGTTACTTAAAAATCAGAAAGAACAGCAGTTGCTTTAATGAGCATACGATCGCATATCTGTTAAGTCTTCACAATAAATTCAACTTTAGCACCAATGTTTTTATAATAATGAATCTTATTATTATTTTGTGGGCTGAGTTCTCAGGCCTTATAAAAGCAGAAGATTCTTCTGCGCTGTCCTCAATGTTCTTTCAAAACATTAACACTAAGCTAGTAAAAGTTACACAGTAAAACTTTAAAAAAAATGCAGAAATTGCTGGAGAAACTTAGCACGCCTGCCAGAATCTCTGGAAAGAAAACAGAATAAACGTTTTGGGTCCAGTGACCCTTTTTCAGAAGCAGAGTTGACATTTCGAGTGCACTTGAAACTTTAATTGTGCTTTCTCTCCACAGATGCTGCTAGATTTTCTGAGTGTCTCCAACAATTTCTATTTTGCTTTTATTTAGATCTTGAGTATCCACAGATCTTGGTTTCATAAAAATAATAAAATATTGATCCTATCACCTTTCCCCAAAATATACCTCATTCATAACATTGGTAAAAGTTGATTACAAAATATTGAGAAGTGAAAATACCAAGTGAAATAATAGTCAACTTCTTTTTCATGTCCACATTGAATTGTCTCCATATAATTGTAATACTATTGATATTTACACTACATTCTTTATGACAGGCTTACAGCTAGACTGCAACAAAATTCAAGCTGAATGTGCGAGTGCAATAAAATTCAACTCTTCTCATATATCATTGCTATGACTCACCACAGTAGCACACTGGAAATCGAGCCCAACTATTCTTGGAATTGTCAGAAAAGTTTTTTTTAAGAAGTGTACAGAATTCCCCAATGTACCTATGTTTTAGACTCAGGTTGACACAAAACATGAGAAAGTTTCTCTACTTATACTATTAGTTGCAATTAAATAGATCCTGGCTCTCAGTAAACAATTATGAATTGTTGACTCATAATTCTACTAGTTAAAATACTAACAGCCTTATAAAACCCTAGTCCCAACCCTTAGACACATACTGCTGTACACTGAAAAACAATTGTCATGGGCAGAGGGAAAGTCTGAGAAGGCACTTTGATGGTCCCTGTCAACAGGATTCACTGATACGATTCTTTAGGCCTATCAGGATGTGCCACTCCTCAATCTTCCTTCTCCAGGTACTTTCACTTGCTTATGACTATTTCACACTTAAAGTCTCCAACTTATTGGCTGAAAGCCATAGTTCACAATAACTAAGGAAAATAAACTAATTTTCTTCAGGCTTGCATTTTTTTTTTTTAACTGTGAAGGAAGGACAGCTCCTTGCTTTTCAGACATCCAATGGCTTCTGACTCAAGCATTCACATCCACAAGCTGTTCAGTTACTTGGGAGCCAATCACATAATTGTTGACAGGCAAAAGGAATTTGTCATCGCCAACTGGTCTTGGAGTGATGACCAATCAACTATTTGTTGCTGGTGAATCTCCATTTATGTACACAATTTGGCTCCAGCTAGTCTGCAACTAGACTTCCCCCTCCCATCTATAAAGTCCAGCAATTGTTTCTTTCTCTTCATAAGCCTTTGTTTTAAAAACAATCCTTTTCCCATTTCAGTCCACAATTTTTTTAAAAAAAGCAAGAAAAAAATAACGAGATGGTCTTTATGTATATTTAAAAATGAACTATTAATGATGCTTTACAGCAAGTCAATGATTGGCTAGGGGGAAGATTCCAAAGAATCTTTGGAATATTTATTCTCCATTAGAAGCTTTTGGAAATAAAACCCAGGGTAGTTATTTTGAGATAGGAGGTGGAACAACTAACAAACCTGCTTTTAACTGTGGCAGTAATTTTTGGATATCTGGATATCTCAGCAATCTGGTCACTACATATGCAGGACTTTCATAGAATGCACTGAATTGCTGGTTTTACCAGTTTCCTTGAGCAGTGTAATCAATTGCAGATAATTTAGCTGCATTTTAACAGAACGGCATTTTAATGCTTAAAGCAGATGCTTAGCGGAACTCATTTCTGTGCTATCCAGGTTCTAGCTTCTGCTCATATTGACTTTGTTGTGACATATACTTGGTCTTTGAACACTTCTGACTCCCAAAGCATTTCAACTGTAAAGATGTAATCATAGTGTGAATATACAGCATTCCTAAAAACTGGCTCAGATATTTGCACATTTAAGCATTCAACAAGAAAGAATAATTTAATTATTGAGTAACCCTTTTTGGAACAACTCTTAAACAGGAATTTTTCTAACTGTGGTGTTAATATTCTCCAACTCACAATAACAAGCAATTATTCTACTGGTGAATACATATTGGCATTTAGATTCAGGCACTGGAAAGTTGGATAATCTACTGTAAAAAGTCACTAATAGTTCATGTTTTAAACATGCTACAAAAAGAACAGTTGAATTCTATTGCACTTTCTGAAATATTTAACTTGTCAAAGTGTAATGCTATGTAGGTTTGAAATGGACCGTGTAGTGTAAATATCAAAAGCCTTACAATTGTATTGAGGCACCTCAATGTAAAACTGAGGTTGTTTGGAGATTTTAAGCCACTTTAATTTTCACATCTACATATTTTGCAATGTACTTTTACAAATGCTATGAACAAAGTACATTTTAAAGGAGAAAAAAGGGGCATCTTGTTAACTTCTACTGAAGAGTCATAGTGTTACACAGCGTGGAAACAGACCCTTCAGTCCAACCAGTCCATGCTAACCATAATCCTAAATTAAACTAGTCCGACCTGCCTGAGCTTGGCCCATATCCCTCCAAACATTTCTTATTCATGTACTTATAAATGTAATAACTATAAGAAATCTATAAGTAAATTTGCAATCTCAAGAACAGCTACTCTCAGTCCACCATTTTGTTTTGCTTAGTGTTAATCTCTTTAAAAGGAACAATGAGATCAGCCGCACAGGAACATTCTGCTTTCACAAAGACCTGAGAATCCAAAGTTGTAAAATAAGCCTGCGATAAATAATTACAAAAACATATTGGTGAGAAGATTGCATTTATTGTGAAGTCTGAACAGAGTTTCTACTAATTAACGAAACTGGTCTGTTTTCTGACGCAGCAATAACTAACTACCAGCTGCTATGTAATTTATCCAAACTTTTCGTCCAAAAGATGGGGGCAAAAATCTAAGATTATGTACAGTCCGAGCTATTGGAAGTGGGGGGATTTTGATAAAAAAAACAGCACAGTGACGATGAGTTTAACTATGAATACTTTGTTTCAAATTAAGCTAAAATCACGCAATGAAAGTGATTTGAAGATATAAAGTTTTATTGTACACGAATAACAGCCAATATTGATTCTAAATAATAAATATCCAAAATTGTTTCATTTCTTAATTACCTGAATTCATATGAAAGACCAAAATAACTTTATGTTTTGTTTTGACGTTGTGCGAAAATATATCGACTCAGAAATCAAGTAAACATTGAACTGCCCCATGCCTGTTCAGCGCCGAAATAACGAGCATTTATTGCACATAATCCCACAAAGATCCGCTCCAAGCGTTGGCGTACAAGAAAATTCCAATACCCGGACTCAAACTAAACAATGCCACAGAAAGCTCAGGTTAACATTTCAGTAGGATAGCTTTTGACTGACATTGCTACAAGGTAATTATTTACTATAAAAAAGTTTTTGTTGTTGTTGATCGACACTTATTCACGTGAAACCACGCAGTCTCAATCTGCGGAACGAATGGGGGGCGGGGAATGGAAAATGACAAGCCTCACCTTCATTGTAAAGAGAAACGTCCAGAAGAGCTACAGCACTGTTTGACTCGAAAAAGTGCAACGTTGCAAAATACAGTTACGCACTTAAAGGTCACAACGAACACACCACAGTACAAGTACAGACACAAGAATGTGAACGCGCCGGCAAATGAGCACACACGTTTGATTTCCATTTTACGAAAATTCGTGGATAAGGAAAGAAATGGGAAGGGGTGGGGTGTTTCCGAACGCGAACTGCGCGCACGCAGTTGCGGACCTGTTGGACATCTAACTTGGAGAAGTCGGATACACTGGGCCCTTCCTCCTCCTCATATATAGATATCCCACTCATTTCTCCTTGTTGAGAGGTTGGGCGATCTCCCTACTTAGTGACCGCAATGCACATCTCCGTTTTCTCACTGCCTAACAGCTACTGTACTGACTCACTATTTGACTCCAATGTTTCCAGCAACTGTCCTCTACAATCCATTACACTGAGATCCCTTCTTCAGCCGAGTAAAATCACCCGATGTTTTGTCATATAGATCACAATCCCTTATAAAAGCAGTGAGCATCCAAGGGGATAAAGAGGGCGCAAAAATGCTTTCAGTAAGGTCGACATGGCCTTTATATATAGGCGTCATGCGAGTTGTAAACATTTAAACACTTCGTTAATGCTCATGTAGCAACATTCAAGAATTGTCCTTCTATTTTACTGAGCTGGCTTACATCTCCCGCGGGGCGGGCTGGGGGTTCATACACTTTCACCACAACGTACTTGCATTGCGTTCACAGAGTTATGAGGTAGGCGAATGCATGAAAAGTACAAGCGGAATCGAGCTGGAACATCTCGTCTTACTCAGTTTCAAGTTCGTGTGCCCCCTGTTGCTGGGTTCCACTGGTTGTGGGGGTGTCGGTTAGCCGCCGCCGCCGCTGTTATATGACCGAATCTAGGAGCCTGTGTTCATTGCCATCGGGCTCGGGGCTGCAGTTCGCTGCTGCAGGCGCTGCTCCTTCGAAGCTGCAGGGCAGACCGTTCATCAGGCGATCCTCGCTCGGCACGGGGTTGTCATTGGGATAACTGCTGTGGTGGGTGGACGGCGGCGAGCCCCGGCAGCCCCACAGCACCGTCTTAAAGGCATGCCTGAAATCCGAACTGCGGCAGTATATGAGCGGGTTAAAGGCCGAGTTGGAATAGCCCACCCAGTTCAGGAAAGTGAACACGGTGTTGGAGATGCTGTCCTTAAAAATGACATTGACGATATTCACCACGAAGAAGGGCAGCCAGCAGAGGGTGAAGACGCCCATTATAATCCCCAGCGTCTTCAGAGCTTTGTGCTCCTTCAGATTGAGAAACCTGGGCGTCCTTTTCTGCCCCTGTTTGGCAGCTTTGCCATTCACAGGAGGGGCAGGCTGGTTCAAGTTGTTGTTGTGATTGTGGAAGCGACCCTGGCACTTGTTGATCTTCTTGAGCTGCTGCTTGGCTTCCTGAAAGACCCGGGTATAGAGGAAGACCATGACAAGCAGGGGCAAGTAGAAGGATACAATGGAAGAGGAGATGGCGAACTCTTTGTTGGTGAGGAACTCGCAACACCTGGGGTCGGTGTAACACTTCTGGGAGTCCGGGTCATCCAGCCTCCACCAGCCCATGTAGATGGGCAGGAAGGAAGTGAGAGCCGCTACCATCCACACCAGGAGCACCACCAGCCGCGCTTTGCACTTGGTCAGCAGCGTTTGGTAGCGGAAAGGCGAGGTAATAGCCAGGTAGCGGTCCAGGGCGATCACACACAGGGTGCCAATACTCGCCGTCACGCACAGAACATCCAGCGAGGTCCAGAAGTCGCACCAGAAATTTTCAAAGTACCAGACACCGGTGATACTGCGGACCCCACCGAACGGGACAACGATCAGCCCCATCACCAAGTCTGCACAGGCCAGCGAGGTGATGAAATAGTTGGTGACCGTCTGCAGCCGCTGGAAGCGGGCGATCGCCGTGATCACCAGCACGTTACCGAACACGATCACCAGCACCATGACCGACATAACGATACTGACAATGATCTTCCAGGCCGGGCTCAGCTCCTTGCGGGTGGCCGCGCTCTCGCTCCCCGGAGCTGCGCTGCTGTTCAGCATGTAGGGGCTCAGTGGGTAATAGACACTGCTCTCTGAGCTACTCTCCTGTGAGCCCATTCTCAGCGGCGCTGCACATAGTGCCAGCAGCTCTCCCTTCTCGTCACACACATATCACTCGGTGACTCTACAGCCGGCCACTTGGTACACTCTCCCTGCCCTGTACATTGGTGAACTCCGCTTTGTGGATTCTGTTTGAGCGCTCCTTCCCTTTCGCTGCTATATAGGGCCCAGGGGGCGGAACGTCATGATCTTTCACAACCAATCGCCGTCTACCTGCAGCTTCAAACCTCGAAGTCTGCACCCATCGGCAGCCGCACTATTTACCTCCAAGTATTAAACACAAGTGGCATGTTCCCCGTCAGTGCCACCACTGGGGCTTAGATAGTCAACTTCACGGTATTCAGAAAGGACACAGGATTCGGAGCTATTCATATAAATGGGAGCAGTAGCCGTTTGTCAGTCACATAAAAGACATACTTTTATTTTAAATTGCCATTTTTTAAAAATTCCAGGCTTGAGAAATTCTCTGTAGAAACTAGCATTCGTGCCAGATTCTCACCATCACAGTGCAAGGAGCACAGCCGCTAAAGTCTGGCTTCCCCACCCCCAGACCGCCTGACAGCGCGTACTCCACCATTTGAAGTTTACTGGGATTCTGCTGCTCGAATCGAGACCTCCCGGTTTCAATTTCACCCTCCCCTCGACTGAAGTCGCGCATTGTTTTTTTTCCCTATTCCTGACGACGAAGTTCCTGTTCTGAAATGTGACGGGTAAGCAGTGGAGGTAGGCTCAGTGCAGAATTCCTGGCTTCTCTTACCCCGGCTAGGCACACACACACACACACACACACGGAGCTACACACACTAACTGCAGTCAACACTCACTTTGCCACTTGAGGCTACTACGCTGAACCGGGACCGCTCGGTCATGAAGCAAACCTGACCCAAACTCTACATTCCGGTTAGTGACATACACCAGGTTTTATTTCACTGTCCACAGTGATACGCCAGCAGATTTGCTATCACAAACACAGTGTAAAAAGATGAATCTCATTTATTTCTGCACATTGGCAGAGTTATCACCTCCTACAGAGAAAACAGAAGTTTTTTTCTCTGATGTGCCTGTCCTGAAAGCTTTCAGATATGTTTCCATCTCCACAAGTTCGATGTTCGTTGTGATAAGCGCTTTAGACCATTTTACACTATGTTAACGGCGCTAAATAAATGCAAACTGTTGTTGGACACGCATAACTGTAATACTTCGCGAGATTTCTAGAACAGCTCGAATTGTTCTATATTGCCGACTTGTTTTAAAAAATGCTGAATTCTCCAAAACATTTTGATTTCCAAAGAGACAATCGCTCCAATGGTAAAGTGTAGGAGCTCGCTGGGCTGATGCATTATATGCATATGTATGTTCAAAGGATGTCAATTGAAACTGTCTCTCTTGGTGTCTGACGTTTTATTAAAATATTTACTGTGGCAATATACTTGAAAGCATGTTCCCTGAAAAATATACCCTACTGACATTTCCGAGAAAATACCCCGGTGAATATCTTTTCCAAAAAAAAAAATTAGCTATAATTTGAAGTAATGGATTATATCCTAAAGCTTGGATTAGTTTGTCAGCTTGGATTAGTTTGTAACATTTGCGCCGCTGAGTCAGTTCAGGATCTAATCACCTCAGAAAGTTCCAGCAGAATTATGTTGAGGGAGGTTAGAAGTTTGGATGACAAGTGTGAGCTGCAATCTATTTGCTTTCGTGTGACCGTTAAATATCTCCTTACACTATTGGAAGGACAGCAGGGAAGTAGTGCTTGGTTACGTAGTAGCAGTTTCATTTTTGTCTCAGTTCATCCATTCAACTGACCCCAAATGTCTCTCCTGTACAGAATCCAATTCGTTCTTCTGTATTTTCCATGAGGTGCGTGCACTGCTCCATCCGATTGAACAAACGCTTCCGATGTCAGTTCTAACTTTGCTTTTCACTAGTTCTAACCTCTAGTCTCCCGTATTATTTGCAATGTAACTGCATGTTCTGGATTAACCGTTTACATATCGTTTACAGTGTTTCATAACAAATGCAGACATTTAATATCCAGTTAGAGGATTCGAAAAGTAAATACATTGACACTATGTTAACCTTTTTGTGGCAGAGGATTAATTGATTCTGTGGGAGATACCAAAGCAATTCGACATTATAATCAATGGGTACCAACCCGATTATATTTTAGCCCTCCGTCACAATATCCCACTTTGGGTATCAAATATCTGCGGCTGTTGTCAGGAATGGGAATGCGAAAACTCAACCCATTCAGATAGCTTTGGACTAAGTGACCAATGTATATAGCCCAACGCCCAGCACCTCCGCCACCCTCAGGGAACAACCCAGAGGATCCAAATGATGTCAAGTCAAAAGAAGCTAATGACGTTCCCGGCTCTGAAGAGGTGACACTCTGAGCGTGACCATCTCTTCATGTCTCAGTTTGAGAGATCGCTCGTTGTTGGGAAACAAAGCTTCTCGCAGAGATCGACACCGAAATTGATATTAGCGTCCCCCAGTTAAATCAAAATCCTGAAATGGTAAAGAAGTCGTAAAGAAGGGCGCGAGCCTGTGCATATCTCCGGAAAAGTACCATATATTAAATGTAAGAAATCGGGCTCCTATAAGCGTCAACTTTACATTGGGTCCAGATTAACACAAGGCATTTTCAACTAACGTCTGCTCAATGAGACTGCAGAATCTAAAAGTGCCTCTCGCTTCCCAAGTCTGTTCACTGGATTGCTACAATTGAAAGCATTGGGTCTGTTACTTTTGCTCCATAAATATAGATGATTGATTTCAGTTATCACATTTGCTTGTATGCCGAAGGAGATGGTGAATGGGAAATTGAAAAATTATTTTTACATTAGCCTTGGTGTAGATTTCATATGATGTTATGCAATACTAACACGAGAAATTGATACGTAATTCGATCCTAAAGCGGCAGGGCATGTTTTGATGAGAAAACGAACACAAGGAAATGGTAATGGTAATTAATTAACTCAAAAAACAAACAAAAAATATCCCTACGTATGTAGTGTTTAATGAGGTAACACAAAATGTGGAGAGATCCGAGTTCCGCCAGCCAACAAAAAGTTAACGTGCCTTAAAGTTTTCTTCTAGAACTGCACAGTGCCCCAAATTAATGAGGCAAATGGAGCAATTGCTCCGAAATCTCCATAACAGATTTCTGTAGCCAAACCGGGCTGATCTTTAGAAGGGCTAGAACAGTTCTAGGATATTTATAAATCAATTAATGGCTATTTATACTTTGTTCTAATTATAAAAGGCTGACGTTCGCACCGAAAGAAAGTGTCACGCATGTGACGTCTTTTAGAAAACAGGTAGATTAAAATGCTATTGCTAGCTATTCATTTTCATTTACATGATAGGACGAAGCAAGTTTGCATTTAGAAAAAAAGTCAGGAAGGCGTCAGGCTTTCCACGCAAATCAGCGTGTTTGAAGTAGATGGTATTCCAAATTAGTGTGATGCTTGGCTTTGTAAACAAGGACATTAGATAGATAAGCAAGGGGGGAAAACAAGTTTACTAGACCAATGCTTGGAATGAGTGGGTTGTTTAAGGAGGAAAGTTTGGACAGACTAGCTTGCATCTCTAGGAGCTGGGAAGGCTAAAAGTCAAGTAGGTTGAAACATGTAAAATCCTGAGGGATCTTGACAGGGTCTGTGTGTAAAGGATGTTTCCTCTTGTGGGAAGTTCCAGAACTCAAAAGATAAAGTCTCCATAATTAGTCATAAAGTTATATGGTATGGAAACACACCCTTTGGTCCAACTCGTCCATGCTGACCAGATATCCCACATTAATCTAATTCCATTTGCCAGAGCTTGGCCTACATCCCTCCAAACCACTCCTACTCATGTACCCATCCAGCTGCCTTTTAAATGTTGTATTTGTGCCAGCTTCCACCACTTACTCTGGCAGCTCATTTCATACACACACCACACCACCCTCTGCATGAAAAATTGCCACATAGTTCCCTCTTATATCTTTCCACTCTTTATATGTTTATAAAATTATGCCCTCTGGTTTTGGACTTCCTTAATCTGGGAAAAAGACCTTGGCTCTATTAGGTTATGCCTCAGCCTCTGACACTCCACGAAAAATAGCCCCAGTCTATTCAGCCTCTCCTTATACCTCAAACCCTCCAACCCCAGCAACATCCTTGTAAATCTTTTCTGAACTCTTTCAAGTTTAACAACATATTTCTTGTAGCAGGGAGACCAGAACTGAATGCAGAAGTCCAAAAGTAGCCTAACCAATATCCTGTACAGCTGCAACTCTTTTTCTCAATGCAACAACCAATAAAAGAAAGTTTTGACAGACCTTTGGATTCCTCTTTTATTAGAGAGACAACCAGTGGTGGACTAGCCTAAGGGTCATCATGCCCAGGCGAGGTGAAGAGGTTGAGAAGGTGAGTTCTACATCATAATCTCAGCTGGTGCTAGAGGTCACTGTTTAAAAATAAAGGGGCTCCACATTTATGACAGAGATTAGGAGAATTTGTTTCTCCAGGAGATCGTGAGCCTTTCAAATTCTCTTCCTCAAAAGCTGGAAGGAGTGGTTGGACCTTTTTTAAGGCAGAGGCAGATAGATTCTTGTTAAAATCAAGATATGAAGGATTATCAGAGATAGGTGGAAATGTGGAATGATCAGACCAGACATGATCTTACTGATTGGCAGAGCAGGCTCGAGGGGCCAATGGCTTACTTCTGCTCCTAGAATCATAAAAATCATAGAATGAAACAGTACAGAAGAAACACTTTGAGCTATCATGTCCGTGCCGCCAGAAATGCTCTACTACCTACACGAGTCCCACTTTACCACACTAGGCCCCATAGTCTTGAATGTGATGACACCTCAAGTGTAGTTTTTAAAAGGTTTTGAGGTTTCCAGACTTAATTAACCCCCCATGTAGTGCATTCCAGACTACCACCATGCTCTCGGTGAAAAAGTTTTTACTTAAATCATCATAAACCTCCTGCCTGTCCCTTTAAAATTCTGTCCCCTTGTTGACCTTTCAACTGAGGGGAACAGCTACTTTCTATCCACACTGCTTATGCCTCTCACAAACTTAAACGCTTCAATTAGGTCCCTCCTCACCTTCTCTGCTCCAAAAAT